ACGTTGGGGATGATTAGAGAAGATAATATAGCCGTTTTAGTGTGAAAACAATTAATAAATCAGCTTGGAGCGTGGGGGGAATCGGTACCCCCTATGGGGAATCGGTTCCCTAAGTGTAAAATTAAAATATTTCGACCGTTATACAAGGGGGAATCGGTACCCCCTGGGGGGGAATCGGTTCCCTCCGAGTATACTAGAATTCTCAGAGCCAAACCATTCAGGGGGAATCGGTACCCCCTTGGGGGGAATCGGTTCCCTCTGAGCAATCTGGAATTTTTGGCTTTGAAATGGTTCGAAATACTTTGTAAAATTATTTTGAGATTGTTTTAAGATTAAAACTTAATTTTACACTTGAATAGGGATTAAAAATGATCTTTGAAAGATTTGAAGTAATGTTTTGATATTCGAATAGTTATATCGAATTATACTTAGCAAATCATTTGGAAAATCTTAAAATTCATTTAACTTAATTTGTTATATCGAAATATCAAAATGTTTTCAACACTAATCTTGTAAATACCCTAAAAAATGTAATGACTAAAGTTGCAATATTCCCATTTTCATTTTCAACAAAAACAACACCGAAATCAATGTATTAATTCCCAGCCAAAATTGTTGAAAGTTTTTGGCTCATGCTTGACTTTTCAACAATCTCCCACTTGAAAACTGATTTTAATCTGTCTTCACACCTCGATCGATGTAGCAGTATTTGTGGTCTTGTTACTCTAGCATGCCAACTGAAGCTGAACACAACTTCAGTTTGTCTGTAGTCACCGCCATGTAAACCCACTTGTTATTGACAGTTTCTCTGTGGTTGCCTTATCCTTCAATGTCTTGGCTCCCTTCGACTCTTGTCCACTAGTCTTTGAAGGATTGTTCCTCACTTGAACATCCTCGGCAAGCCCTTGTTTCGACCCTTCTCTTAAGATGGTTTCTAAAGCCATGTTCTCTACACGAACATGCTCGACAAACTCCTTGGACACGTACAACTCTTCTTGCACTTGGCTTCTACTAGCCTTGGCAGTGACAAACCGTACTAAGCCAAGTCTCAACGCCTCTTCGATCCTGGGTTCGTCCACTTCTCTGGACAACTCGATCATGGGCTCATCCATCACCTTGGATGACTCAGCTCCCTTCGGGTAATCTCGTAGTACTTCTGGCATCTTAAGTTTGCGCCCCCTCGTTTGCTCGACTATACCCTCGGCTTAGGATCTTTGACACTTGAACTTGTGCCAATACTGCACACATCTTCCCCAGACTTACCATCTGGTTCATTATTGAGTGGACTTTCTCTACCACTCGAGGAACAATATTCCTCATCCTCTGACTTGCCTTCATCACCGAATTCCTTGCCGCCATCCTCGGCTTTCAGCTTTGCTTTGGAAGTCTTGTTCTTCTTGACTCCAAATTATTTGATGGAATCAGCGGTTGTCAAGGCTTTAGACAACTCCTTGACTTCCCTTCGCTCAACACTCTCTTCGTCCATGGCTTCAATTCGAACATGAAGGTGAAGAATCCATCTTCTTCAGTCAAACTTGGGACTTTGAGCATGAGTTTTCTGAATCAACTCACATACTCCTTAAGTGTCCCTTTATGCCTGAGACACCTCAACTTGGACTACGCCTCCATCCTGGCATACTGTGAGCGGACTTGCTCACTTTGCACCCTCGGCTTGACGGCTTTATCTATTGCTATCGTACCGGGTCCCTTTTTGTGCTCGACTGCTTTGACATCCGCAGTCTCGTCATATTTAGATCCTTGCTTGGCCGCATTGATCCCATCAAGAGGACCAAGTCTTTTCTCTGGCTTGGTAGCTTTAACACTTGCAACCACACCAATCTACTACTTCTTCTTCTCCCATCCTCTTCATGATGGCTGTAAGGCGACGTTTCTCGGGATATCATCTAATCAAATGAGGACCATCACAGAAGTAACACTTAAGCTTTTCCTTGTTCACATTCTTCTTCGCCCCAGATTTAGCCTTGCCATTCTTTCTTGATGGCATTCATTTGCCACGAACAGTCGATGGCTCACCTTGGCCACTCGAAGAGCTTTCTTTACCATCTCTCCGCTGCACCTTTTCCCGGTCTCCCCCACTATTTCCACTATCTCTGGGCATGGGCATGGACGACACATCGCTACTTGGCTTGTCACCTGCAAGCTCAGTCAGCTTTTCGGCTACAGCTATGGCCTTCGAAAGTCTCTGGGCATCTCCTTGCTCTTCTTTGAGCATCGCCCCTGGTCTAAGTCCTTCCAAGAAGGTCTTGAGCGCACCCCATTCACCCATTTCTCCCTTGCATATGAGCAGCTCCTTCTTGAGCTCATACACTTCGTTTCTCAAAGTCATCGCTCCCGCTCGAATCTGGCTTCCTTTGGATCGTTTCTGACAATTCCTGTGAACCACCGTGTATTAGAACACCTCGGTCGATAAATTTGTATCGTCGACAAAATTTTAATATTTATGAAATTCACTATTCACATGAATAATAACCTCGCAAAAAAATTGACAAAATTCACAACCAAAAACTCTGATTACCAGTTGTTGAGAAATAAACAAGTAATGAGTAATTTTCCTATAACCATTAGTGAGAATGCGAAATAAAAGCGGAAAAATAATACCCGAAATTGATAACGGAGTTCAGTCAATTATGCATACGTCTCCGAACTGCTGCAGATCTTTTACTAAAAGGAGAAAATTTACAGGTGTTTATAAAAACATTTGAGAGAGAGCTAGAATGATTTGGGAATTTGGGATGATTTTGAAACAAATGGGATTGGGTATTTATAGTTGAAGTTTAGGGACTAACCTTGTAAATACCCTAAAAATACAGTGACTAAAGTTGCAATATTCTCATTTTCATTTTCAATAAAAACAACAACACCGAAATCGATGCATTAATTCCCGGCCAAAATTGTTGAAAGTTTTTTGCTCATGCTTGACTTTTCAACATTCACCTTAAACCTTCTTCGATTTTGCTTCTGCTGCCATGTGAGAGGAAACAAAAAAGATGGAGAATCAATCATTTTTTAATGAGATTCACTGTGAAATGAAAGCAGATGAACTGTTTATTAGATTCACAGTTGTTTAATTAGGCGGCCATTGCAACGTTTTTTTGTTAAAAAGTAAAAACATTCACTAGAAGGTTTTTTACGAGTAAGCGATGAATTCTGACAACCGGGGTTTCAAATCACGGTCGTGGTCGTGTTTTCGGTCATTTTGTATTTACTGTGATTACGACCATAGCATGTGTTATTGGGCGTTATTACGGTTGGAATGGGTATATCGAAAGGTAGCGCTACCGTTATTTCACGAGCGCTATCGCGATCGCGAACCGCTATTTGAAACCTTGCTGACAACCGAAAATATCAAACATTGTGAAGACCTTCCCTTATTTATTTGACTATCATTCATCACTTTGATTCAAAATCCGTGGCAAGAGCCAGATCTAGGCGTTTCTGGTGGTTGGGGGATGACAATCATGGACAAAATTATATGATGAAGAGGAAATAACACTGCGGTACCAAACACGAAAACAAGTGCAATAGGGTGAAGAAAAGTGGAGAGTTGATGCTTAAAACCCAAATCATAGATTTCAGGAAATCCATGGGAAATTACTTGGAACTTGACTGAGGAGAGGAGAGGATCGGTTTGCTGTAATGGCTGGGTATAACTTCATTTGAGGTTTTCTTGCAACCGCCAACCTTTCCACTATAGGCACCTACAAACATGTTTCATCATTCTCTATAACTCCTCCAGTTTAGATATTTCCAAAAACGACAAAACCCAACAATAGTTGGGGTGTCCATCTAAAAAATCCCAATGGTTAGAAAGATTCAACCAAGCAGAAGAACAACATATCTCAAAATCAATCTCGTTAAACTGTCCTTGGCAAAGCTCAGACCAAGAGAAGGCTAAAGCTTTAACTTGATTTTCTTGCTTTTAAGTGGGTTCGAAAGAAAATCATCTAATGTGTTGTGAACTATGAACGATGTTCAATGACAGTGACCAAAGAGAGGTTAAGGTTTCTAAGAATTTTTTTATATCATTACGACGTTTAAGATTTAAAGATGAAGTCACTGAAAAACGAATTCAAAAAGCTTAATGCTTTAATTGCAACTTATATACGTACGTTATTAACTGAAAAAAGGTTCCCTCCCCCGATTATTCTCCCCCGTTTTTCAGGTGAAAGGGGCCCATTTTTCTCTGTTTTTCTTTTCCATCGTCCTCGGCAATATCATCGATTAGCAAACATTAAAGGGGAAAGGGTGACGGTTGGGTGTACAAGGTGAGGAGAGGCGGACTGATTCAACGTTCATCACACGAGCGAAAGATGAACACTTTTGGTGATTTGAAACATCACCTGAGCGTCTGAAGCTTTGGAGCACTCTAAGGAGATCTGGAGTAATCGGAGATCATCATCAGATTCAACGACTGACAAAAAGCAACGGCGGCGGACGAAAGGTCGGCAAATGTTCTTTAGGTTATGGGCCAATTAGAGTTTAATTAGATGGGCATCGTGTGGCTGGACTGATATGGTTTGAGTTTAATGTGGATCTTACAAATTTTATAATTTGGACAGGGACCTTCGGAATTTATAAATTCGGGTATTTGGGTTTTAAAGTCCAAATAAAATTATCAACACTACTCAATGAGTTAAACATAATATATATTAAATTTGGATTTTTTAAAAATTAATAAAAATATTTGAATTTTTTAATATTTTAATATTTTGAGAATTTATTTTTTATAAATATTTTTTTCATATTTAATTTATATTATATATTACGTGATAAACTTTTAGAGTACTCCGTAATATATTTTATAACAAAAAAAATACTGAAATAATATATATCATAATTAGAAAAAATCTAAAATACCAATATGATAATGAAGTAGAACTTTACGGGTCTAATACGATTTATCCCAAGAAGACAAACATATTGATTCTTTGCAAAGAGATCCGACAAAGCCCGAAGTTGCCTTCCAAGTAATATTGTCTTCACTTTTTCATTTATCCGTACGTTGACCTAACGAGAAAAAGGGGGAAAATGGGTTCTTTCTTATCAAGTTTGCTTTCAGGACCAGGACCAGAAGATTCATCGTCTTCATCCGAGTCTTCAGGGGTCTTAACCTTCCATTCAGCTCCGAGATGGCAGCTTCACTTCAACTCTGTCAAAGAGACCCCAAAACTTGTATGTTTCTCTCAACCCCAGATCTGATTTCTTAATAATTATTCTTTTGGTGGTTTTTTCTTTATGTTTTGGTTATTATATGAGAGATCTGACTTTGGGTTTTTGATTGAACAAAAAAATTGGGATCAGATGGTTATAGATTTCTCAGCTTCCTGGTGTGGACCGTGCAAGTTCATGGAACCTGCTTTGAATGACATGGCTAATAGGTTCACCGATGTTGAGTTTGTGAAACTTGATGTTGATGAGCTGCCTGTATGTGTTTTCTATCCTTTTCTTTACATATACGGGAAACCCTTTGCTACAATTGATTCTTTGTTGAGATTTTTTAGAGGATTTTATTTGATCACTTCCTCGGTTCTTGTTGCTGATCCATACATGGTGGTGGGTTTTTAGGATGTGGCACAAGAATTCGGAGTGCAGGCAATGCCGACTTTCGTGTTGTTGAAGAAGGGGAAGGAAGTGGATAGGGTGGTTGGAGCTCAAAAGAATGAGCTTGAGAAGAAAGTTGATAAGCACAGGTCTTAAATACCACCCTACAAGCTGCTATTTGAACTTTCAGTTTGTACGTTTGCATTAATAAATGCCAAAGGGAGTTTCCTGAATTTGATGATGGTAAAATAATGCTTCAACTCTTTATTGTGGAACAATGATTGTTTTATATAATGTGATTGATAATCTATTGTCTAATGCTTTGTTTTTGCTCGTGTTCATCTGATTCTTGTATTGAATTTGTAGTTTTAGATCTTTGGTCATTGCCCCTAAAATAGAAGGGAAAACATATGTTTCATTTTTTTTTAATCAATGGCCTCTGATATCAGTTTCTTCATGTTAGGAACATAGGTTCTCTATTTAAGATACTAGAATTCAATTTGCTTAATAGCTCAAGCGGCTCGAATTTGACTCAACAATGATAGAGTCAATTTGAGTTTTCCTAAGCTAAACTCAAGTTGTTTGTGAGCTAAAGTATCTCATCATGCCTTAGGAGGCACATTCAATGGAAGGTTGTATAGAGAAGAGTATGCAAAAAATACATTGAAGGCATGGGAAACACGAGTCTATCAGGAAGATGATGGATTTAATCGGATAGAAAGTAGTTTCTATGTTAAGATGACAAACTATAGATCCTTATTACTCTCTGCAGTAGCAATCCCAGCAGTATATGCACGATACATGTAGAATCAAATTGTTTGATGCCTTTTCTCAGACAGTATATGCTTGCTGAATTGTGTCTATGTCGAGACCCTTCAGTCTAACTACCGATTATCTGATTCGACATGTCCTTTTAGCGTAATCATTCTCTCAACCTGCAAGCAGAAAAAGCAAATGCTTAGCATTGATCAGACATTGTCGTCAGTTACACCTACAATATGAACTAACTGAACTAAATTCAAGTTTCAAGCTCTGGATTTATCAACAGTGATGATTTTAAAGTAAAGTTGAACTTAATGGATGCATACCTTGCAATTCCGGCCCGTCTCTTTGCCTCTTCAGCCATCTGATTAAGTTCATCGAAATTACTGCGGTCATTGAACATCTTGGTGTCCGGTGGCTGCAGTCCATGGAGTGTCATCTGAGTGTGTGACCATTTTAGTTAGCGTTCTTCTTTCCCAAAGTCTTTCTTCCTCGTGAAAGTGGTCTGAAACAACCCAAAAATGAAACACCAAACAAGTTTCTCAGCCAACAACAATGCAAGTTACTGCATCGGTTGAAAAGAATTCACACCCTTTGTTCAATAACGAGATCCCAAGCCTTTCCGGTGAGAGCTTATCGAATGAAGAACTTGATGAAGTCAAGTAAAAGATAAGATTGTAAAGCCATATTACGCCTGCCCAACCTCATCAAATTAGCTGAATCTATTCTCATATGTAATGGGGTGAAAGGGGATAAGGTAGTAGGCTGCTCTCAATGTCAGGTTGAGAGCAGTTTCCGTGGGCTGCGCAACCCCATCCAATTCCTTAAATTGAGCAAAGTTCCGGTTTGCGTAAAACTAACAAATCAATAGCAGTTTTTTTTCGTTATTATTGATTTAACCGAGTTGATTCATACATGGCATCTAGCAAGACTGTTTCCAGTTCCTTGCATTGCAAGCAAAATAAACCAGAAGTTAACTAAACAGCTGAGCAATGACAAAAGCCGTGACATTAACACACAGGGATGCTCGACGAAAGACCAACTCCTTGCTCTTGTTAGAAAAATGAGAACCTGACTTATAATGCTCACTTGCAGGTATATCGGTCGGTTTTCTCAAGGCTTTTAACCCAAAACGTACGCTGCAACTGAAAATACACGATATGTTACTGTAAGCAAAATCGAGCATGCATCATCGAAATGTAATAATGCGAAAAATATTCTTAGGGTGCGTTTGGTTCACAGAATGTAAGATTATCAGGAAATAAGATTACTGAAAATATTATATTTTGTGTTTGGTTGGTTTAACAGATATGTAAGATTACCGTATTTGGTTAAATAAATAAAAAATTATTGAAATATATATTTGACTAAATTATCATTATTATATATTTATTTTTTAACAAGTTGAAAAATATTTATATATTTTTTAAAAAAAAATTTAAATTAATAAAATTTATATTTTTTACAAAATTAAAAATATAAAAAAATTTAATGAAAGGGTAAAATTTTATTTTAACCCCTGAACTTTATATAAAATTTTAATTATAATTTTTTTTTATAAATCTAAAATAATTTAAAGATAAATTTATAATTTAACCTTCGTAGAATTTTTATTATTCAATAATAGAATAATGATATTTTTGAAGAAAAAAAATTTAAGAACATTTTAATCCAAAACACCGATAATCCAACAATATCTATGAGAAGGGATGTAATGTCATTCCCGATAATATATCCAAAAAAATTCACTATTGATAATCTTATATTACCAAAAATGAAATTCTCATGCTAACCAAACGGGGAATGTTCAAACGATCCAAGGAAAATGATGGTCATCATGGCAAGTAACAACCAAGAATGATAGAACCGATGCTAGAACCTAAAAATGCCACCCTTTTCACTCGGTAATCACTCCAAACCCCTCGTAAACATTTTAGGAAGAACCTTACTTCACTTCTAAAGCTTATAGGAGTTACTTTGGGTCATTTAGCACTTTTATAACACATTTAACACACGATGACATAAGTTGAATCTCAAGCATGCAAAACACCCAAGAACACCCAACATGCTCAACAACCAACAAAGTATCACAATTATGAAACACAAGCAGCATTTCAAATTTGATTGTGTACTACCTTAAACCTTGAAACCTGAAACTTTCACAAAATTTATTCTTTCCTTTCGAGTTTGAGTGTTCTCCCACCTCTTGCACTTCTCAAAAAGGATGGAAAGAATAACTAACACCTCTAATGAAGCAAGGGGAGTATAATAAGGCATCTAGGGTGTAAAACCCGGACCAAAATGAGCTAAGATAGCTCAAGGTCCCAAAAACCCACTAAAACCCATTTCTAACCACTTCCACCTCTCTATAAGGTTTTGAGCTCATATCCAAGCTCTAGAAGTGTAGATTACGAATCTTACCTTCACAATTTCAGGAGAAGTACCTACATAACAAAGGATATGTCTTTGGAGCTTTAGCTTTACTTGGGAAGAGAAAGGAAATGATGGAGGATGAAGACAAAAGGAAGGCTTTTCAGCAAATTTATCTCCCATGCCTGCTGACATGATCCATTTTAAAGAGAATTAAACCTTTGAAATTCTTAGTGGGATAATTTCACAATAGGTCCTCCCTCGAATATTCTCAATTCAAAAATCTCTTTTTTTTACTATGGGTCCAATTAACATCCGATTATGTCAAAATTTAGCTCAATGGTTCTAATTACTCAAACACGTAGGTTATTGGACTTCTCAAGTCAACTCACACGCGTTGACCTAGAAATTTGGATGTTGCATAACTAATGAGAAAGATAAATGAAGCTTTTGGGTTAAAATTAGACGAAACGAATCACGAAATTAGAACCATGAGGTCAAAAAATGTTAAATCAAAGTCAAGAAAAAAGTCAATGCTATAAAGTCAAGAGTCAAGTGTCAACGGTTCATAGGTCAAAGTTAATATCGTAAAGTCAACGGTCAATGGGTCAAGTAGTTTGGCTCAAGTCAACTCATTCTAGTCCAACTCGATCAATTCAACTCAGTCCAGTTTAGGTCGGTCAATTCGATTTAATCAACTCGGTTCGGTGTAGTTTAAAGCATGGCTTGGACCAGTTCTTTGGGCTTGATCTAGCAATTACCTTAGGCCAAGAAGTTTGAACTGTGCCTTGGACTTTGCATGGTTCCAGTCGGCCTCTATGCAGGCTGAGCATGGGCGACAATTTGGGCTAAGGGGGTGAGTCGGTTTGCAGGCCCAAACAAAATAGTGTTTTACCCTTAACGTTGATGGAGTAGTTTTGCCAGCAACGAGTCGACTCCCACCAGTGTGTGCCACGCAAGATAATAGGGAAAGATGATGGGGAGATAAGAGATGAGAAAAAAGGGAAAAAAAAGAAAGAAAGACTCTTATTTAATCTAAAATAGTCACACGCGTAATGAGATAATTGAAGGTTCTTCACTATAGTTCTCGTTAACAGTTATAGACGAAAAGACAACAAGAGGTGGGGTTTTCTCGAGATGATACGAGACTCACAATGGACATGACAATACCGATCACAACCACAACTACGACAATTGTTTGGTGAAGGATCTTCAGTAAAGAATTGTGAAGGGTGAAGGGTGAGAGAAACAGGTGTGAAAGGGAAAAATGAAAAGAAAAAAAATCTCCATTAGGGCTTAAAGTTGGGTACTTATACCTTAGGTTCAAGGTGTTATAAGGACCCAATGTAAGTTATAAAACCTCTTAACAAGGATTAGTATCACAGTTAGAGTTGTAGGTGAGTACTTCACAATTGCACAATGGTGCAGGGTCTATTGTGCATGCACACAATTTTTTTAAAGTAATACTAAAATTGAATTATAAGCTAATGTCATTAAAGATTACATCATTCGAAATACATTTCGATATATAAAAAATGAACCAAAAAAAAAGATTGATTTTTGACGAAGTTCAAGATCAAGCACATGAGCAACTCGATTTGTCTAAGGAACCTTAGAATTCACACAAGGTTAGAATTATAACTCTTCAGGGTCCGTTTGGTTCACAGAATGTAAGATTATCAGTGGGAATAAAAGATTACCAGTGGGAATAAAAGATTACCAGAGAATAGGATTACTGAGAATGTTATATTTTGTGTTTGGTTGGTTTAACAGGAATGTAAGATTATCGTGTTTGGTTAAAGGAATAAAATATTATTAGAATGTATATTTGATCAAATTGTCCTTATTATATATTGGTTTTTAACAAGTTGAAAAATATTTATATATTTTCTTTAAAAAATTAAAATTCATAAAATTTATATATATATTTTTTACAAAATTGAAAATATAAAAATGTTTAATGAAAGGGTAAAATTTTATTTTAACCCCTGAACTTCATATAAATTTTAATTATATTTTTTTTTGTAAATCTAAAATAGTTTAAGGATAAATTTGTAATTTACCATTCGTAGAATTTTTATTATTCAATGACAGAATAATGATATTTTTGAAAAAAAATATAAGGACATTTTAGTCCAAAATGCCAGTAATCCAACAATACCTAAAGAAATGGAGGTAATGACATTCCCGGTAATATACCCCAAAAAATCCACAATTGGTAATGTAAGATTACCGGGAATAACATTCCCGGCCAACCAAACAGGAGAATATGGATTTCATTCTCATAGAATCTCACATTTCCCCAACCAAACACACCCTCAGTGGTATCTCACTGATGGCTAGCCCCCCGCCGCCGCCAAAGGAGGCCTTCTTCGCCTTCCATCTAAGTTGAGCAGGAAAAGCCTAAAGCCAATCAATCTGAAATCGAATGTGCTTCGTTCAGCAATAAATCGATTGGGTTCCATTCAATCTACTCGCAAGACCTCCAACAACCATTTTGTGATGATCGCGTGCCACAACACCTATAGTGGTAGCGCTGGCGTTGGAATACAAGCTCTATCCATATTGATTTGGATACTCCCAAGGGGGAAGGTGGCCATTTTTTACCATGCATGGGGCGAGTTCTAGGGCCTTTAACAGAAGCAGTCCCATTGACGTTTTTGAAATCAACTTCCAAAAGCCATGCAGCACATAAAAACTTTTTGCCTAGCACTATGAGGGAAATTTTGTAAAACGTACCAAAAGTCCCTCAACTTCCAAAATGTCATGATTTGGGCTCTAAGGTTCAACTCGAGTTCATGTTAATCCTGAATTTTATTGAAAAAATTTCAACAACCATCAATTTGGTCCTCAACTAAAAGATAAAAACTTTTGACCCAAATTTTGTGTTGTGACAAATCCCATATCGGAAAAAAAGGAATTGTAATTTGAAAGTGATAATCCTGCTTAATAATGACCCCAATTGATCACAGAAGAGGACATCAACGCTAAATGCAAAAGTTTTATATCCCAAAGAGGAAAAACTAGTAAAAGAACATTAGGCAGAGATTTTACTAATGTCATTAGTTACAAATTTTAGCTGCAATACAACACCAAATGTTTGTTTTTCACACATGTAGCATATAAAAAGAAATTAGAATTGCATGTTATTTGAAAAAGACTGCATGTTGATTCCATGGAAACAACATTTAACTCTTTCTTAATAACATGACCTTGAATGTTGTCTCGACCAGCCAGCTCTTATTCGGAAACCAGCAGCTCCGGGATTAAACAAGCGTCA